AACTTTACCCCCTTACCCTAAATCCTTGCCCCCTCGTTGACATCTCCACCCTGGGAAAAAGATTGCGACTATCCACCTTATTCATGCTTCTCAATTTAAAATACTTCTATTAGGTGGCGCTTCAGCCTCCGATGCACTAGCGAGAACAATCCAAGTTTCTCCAACCTCTCCTTATAGCTAACACAATCCAATCCAGGGAACATCCTCTAAGCCTCTTTCGCACCCTCTCCAAAGCTTTCACATCCTTCCTATAGAGTCATGACCAGAACTGCATACAGCACTCCAACAGCTGCAACATGACTTACCAACTATTATCTTCAATGCCCCGAGCAATGAAGGTGAGAAGGCTGCAAGCCTTCCTTACCACCTTATTCACTTGTGTTGCCACTTTAAAGTAACTATGGACATGCACCCCAAGGTCACCCTATATATTGATGCTCCTAAGGGTCCTGCCTATAGCAAAGATGTTGTGAAACTTGAAAGGGTTCAGAAAAGATTTACAAGGATGTTGCCAGGGTTGGAGGGTTTGAGCTAAAGGGAGAGGCTGGAGCTATTTTCTCTGAAGTGCCCAAGGTTGAAGGATCACCTTATAGAAGTTTATAAAAATCATGAGGGGCCTGGATAGGGTAAATAGACAAAGTCTTTTCTCCAGGATAGGGGAGTCCAAAACTATACGGCATAGATTTAAGGCAAGAGGGGAAAGATTTGAAAGGGGCCTAAGGGGTAACTTGTTCATGCAGAGGGTGGTGAGTGTATGGAATGAGCTGCCAGAGAAAGTGGTGGAGGTTAGCACTACTGTCTCACAGCCCAGGGACTGAGGGTTTGATTCAGGCCTCAGGCAACTGTCTATGTGGAATCTGCACAGGTTTCCGCCTGGTGCTCAAGTTTCCTCCCACAAAGACGTGCAGGTTTGATGGACTGGCTATGCTAAATTGTCCCATAGTGTCCAGGGATAAGCAGGCTAGGTGGGTTATCCATGGGAAATGCAGGATTACACAGATGGGAGTGGGTCTGAGTGGGATGCTCTTCAGAAGGTCGGTGTGGACTTAATGGGCCAAATGGCATTCTTGCATCATTTCACACATCCAGATTAAACTGCATCTGCCACTTCTTTGTCCAACTTTCCAACTGATCCATATCCGGCTGTATAAAGTTTTTGAGAAGATTTGTAGCTCCGGTTGTGGATGAGGTTGTAGACTTGCTCGCTGAGCCGGTATTTTTGGTTTGGTTGCAGACAATTCATCACCCTGCTAGGTAGCATCGTCAGTGCGCATTGGGGAAGCGTTGGTAATATCAAGCCGGACAGAACACCATCGCTTCACCAGAGGAGCACTGACAGGGTGATAAAACGTATATAACCAAACACACCGGCTTGGCGAGCAAATCTACAACCTCATCCTGCTGTATCCTTTCAGAACATTCCTCACTATCCACAAGTCAACTATTTTTGGGCCAGCAAAGTTATTAATAAGACCAAATGCATTTTCATCCAAATCATTTGTATATATTACACACTGATCCTTGCAGAACACCACTAGCCACAGTCTAGTCAGAAAAAAACCTCCAAAGCTACCCTCTGTCTTCTATGACCAAGCTAATTTTGTATCCAACTTCTCAACTTACCATGGATCCTGCATTGCTTAATCTTGTGGACCTGTTTATGGTGAGGGGTCTTGTCAAATACTTTACTAAAGTCTATAGTGACAACATCCACTGCTCTACCCTCAGTCACCTTTCAGTTTTTTGAGGAAGTCGTCAATCAAATTTGACAGTCAAGACATTCCCCACACAAACCCATGCTGACTATCCCTATTAAGTCCATTCTTTTCTAAATGTGAGTAAATCCTGTCCCTGTGTATGTTCTTTAACAATTCCCCTTTCACTGACATAAGGCTCATTAACCTATCATTTCCTGGATTATCCCTCTTGCCGTTCTTAAACAAAGGAACAACATTAACTATTCACCTGTGGCTAAAGAGGATACAAAAGTCTCCGTCAAGGCCCCAGCAATCTCCTTCCTTGTCTCCCTCATTATCCTGGCATAGATCTCATCAGGCCCAGAGGACTTCTGTACCTTAAATGTTTTTCAAGACATCCAACATCAACATGCCCCATAATACCAACAGATCCTTCCTAATCTTATCATCCATTCCTTCTCCTTGATGAATACCAATGCAAAGTATTCATTAAGGACCTCACCCACTTCTTCTGGCTCTACACATAAATTGTCCTTGAGTGGACCCATCTTGTCCATAGCTATCTTCTTGCCCCTAACATTTGTACACAATGTTTTGGGATTCTCCTTAATCCTCATTGCCAAAGACATTTTGTTGACCCTTTTAACCCTAATTCCTTATTAAAATTCTTTCCTGCTTCCTTTATTTTCCTCAAGGACTTTGTCTGATTTCAGTTTCCTAAACTTTACATACGCCTCCTTTTCCTTTTTGACTAATCTATCATACCTCTTTTCATCCAGGGTTCCTGAATCTTGCCATCCTTATCTTTCATCCTCATAGGAACATGCTGATTCTGAACTCTGATCAACTGGCCTTTAAAAAACTCCCATGTTGTATGTGGATTTTCCCTCAAATAGCCACCCCAATCTATTATTTTCCAGTTCCTGCCTAATACTGTTGTAAATAATCTTCTCCCAATTTAGCACTTTCACCCAATGACCACACTTACCCTTACTCATAACTATCTTAAAACTTATAGAATTATGATCTCTCGCACAACATTAACTATGTACTCTGGATTGCACATCAGTGCTTAGAACACACTTCCCTACTCACGTCTAGTTACCCTTATAGAATCTTATAGCATTGGAGGCAATTCACGAACTGATCTATTTGAGGTGGCTCTTTAAAATCTTGTCAATTTAGTCTCTCCCCAGCACTTTTTCCGCACAGCGCAGCATGTTACTCCCGTCAAGTACATGTCCAATTATCTTTTGAAAATTACTACAGAACCTCATCCCACCATAGTTTCAGGTAATGTGTTCAAGATATTAAATAACTCTGTGCTGCTTACTGACCCATTTACCAAACTGGTTCTTCCTTTAAGATTTATCAAACCCTCTCCTAATTGAGGGCAGAGTGATAATAAAATTTGAGGGAGAAACATCTCAGTATCTCCAAATACTGAACGTCCCTGTCATTGGCACTACCCTGTTGAAACCTCCTCTCATCCTTCCTAAACTGCATTCTTCCTATTGTTAAAAAAACCTGCCAGCAGTAATGCAAAAGATGCAGTGAGACCACAATTAATCCTTCAAACAAGGTAGAACAGGAAAATAAAAGCGGAGTGGAAATAAAAGATGCCTGCAACCTTAAAGTTTACCAGCCACGTAACTTAAATAGACAATAGATGACAAACTAGCGGTGTGTGAAGATTTGGCCTTATTTATATGCCCATTCTTGATGTCTTTTCACCTGCATGTCAATCTTCCCTTTCTGTCTGTCTGTCTCTCTCTCTCTCTCTCCCCCCCCTCTCTCTTTATTGCCAATGTACATCTCTCCTAAGTTCTTCCTTTCCTGCTCCCAAACACAGATTTTTGACTTGCTTTGCCTCCTGTCCCTTTTGTTTTTCTGAATCACTGCATCAATTTCTCTTTTCACTATTTATCTGGTCTTCTGCTAATCTACTAGCAGACATTCTTTCGCTAGTTTATAGTGTAAATCCCAAAGATTTTTAGTTGGACATTAAAAGCCCCAAGTCATCACAAAAAAAATCATCTAACGCAATCAACTTTTAAAAATAGGTTAACTCATATTATGTTACTGTCAATTGGGTCTTGGTGCGCAAAATTATCTTTATCTTTAGAACAGCAGCGACTGACCCAAGTCATTCATTATGCATGAAATCTTTCAAAAACATCCTGAGATGGAATAAAGTGTACAGAAATAAAAACTTGTTACTCTGCCTTTACCTCAGGTTTACCTCTCATTTGCTAATAGAGATGTGCCTGTCACAAAGCCTGGTTACTTCTGTGAGCTAATGCATGTTGTTTGTTTGTGTCAGATCTTATTTATATACCCATTTCTGCTTTACCTTTCTATATCTCAATGAATCTTCCTCTTACGGATCTTTTACTTCATCAACTCATTCATCAGTTTCTGTATATAGCCCCTTCTAGTTTTTGTTTTCTTAGTGATACTCATCTTCCATCCCCATTTCTCCTCCTTCCATGATGACATAACACAACAAACAGTGGCTCAGTGGTTAGCACTGCTGCCTCACAGCACCAGGGACCTCGGTTGACAGTGTAGAGTTTACACATTCTCCCAGTGTCTGCGTGGGTTTCCTCCAGGTGCTCCAGCTTCCTCCCACAGACCAAAGGTGTGCAGGCTAGGTGGATTGGCAATGCTAAATTGCCCGTAGTGTTCAGGGATGTGTAGATTAGGTGGGTTATGAGGGACGGGTCTGGGTGGCATGTTCTGAGGGGCGGTGTGAACTTGTTGGGCCAAACGGCCTGTTTCCACACTGTAGGGATTCTATATAAAATAAAATAGTAGGCCACATATCCTATCGCACCTACTCCATCGTTCAATATCATGGATATTCATCTGATTGCAGCGTTAAATTAACTTTCCTGCCTCCCTGCATGACCCTTAGTCAACCAAAAAGTTGTCCTATTTGAGCCTTGAATATATTCAATGCCTCAGTCTCCAATGCTGCCCTGGGAAAGTGAAGCTGATCCTCAGAAGTTCTTCCTCATCTAAGTCTTAAATAAAAGATCCTATATACTAAAACTGTGACCCCGAGTTTTCCCTCGCGAAAGGAAACGTCCTCTCAAACCCCACCAATATAACACACGACCAGCATCAGATCACCTCTCATTCTTTTAAACTCCATTAGGCCTAACCTTCCCTCACAAGAGAACCCCTTCATTTCAGAAGTCCATCCTCCGCCTCCCCAATGTCGTCAGTCGCCTCCACCCTTTTCTTCTTCTCCATTCTATTCTCCTTTCACCCCTCTCCTCTTCTCTCTCGGTTTCTTACCGTTTGAAGTCTGGATTTCTCTCGCTTTTCCAAAACAAGCTCACTTCCGCTTTTGCGCGCTGCGGGTTTACCGGCGCGGCGCGCGGTCACTCATGGGCGAGGGGGCGGTCCTTCCGCGGACAATGACGACAACGACACACACACACAAAAACCTGGAAAACAAATGTCCTGACTCTCAGCGGCCTCTTTATCTCTCCACTCACTCCAACCGCCTGCTGCCTCTCCAAAATGGCGGAGACGCCGGTTCGGAACACAGACAGGGTTTTAAACTGCCCTCGGGCTTCCGGCCTCTCGAAGCCCTAATTTTAAATCTCAGTAGAGCTTCCAGGAACGCGGTATTGGAGCGGAGAGTTAGTGCGGAAAGCATTTGGGGGCCGGACCGACGACATGGTCCCGGGCTGGGTGTAACTCCTCCGCCCGCCGCTTCTCACAAAATGGCGGACGCTCCATCTGTTCCAGAAGCGAAAGGTCACCGGCATGCAATCCGGAACCAATTCTCCGATCTCAAAGTTCCTATAGCAACGTCGTCGTTTCGGCCTTTTCAATAACCCAGCCATTGCCACCATTTTAGATGAAGCGTTTTCACTTTCTTACAAAAACGGTTTCGAAATCAATCCAGAACTCTCGAACTTACAATACTTAAAAAACTTCATCCTTTAAAATTTACAAATTGCATTAAAACGCTTCTATACAAATCATTTTGCTCGCGTTAGCCTTAACAGCATACAAGGACGTGAGGCAGCCCTGGAAATTAATCGTGACGTTTACTTTCCTACTTGTAAACGATAATTTTGTTGAACATCGAACAGTACAGCACAGGAGCAGGTCCTTTGGCCCAATATGTCTGCGACCATGATGCCATCCTCAACTAAGCCCACATGGTGCATATCCTTCTATTCCCTGATATAACAAGGTGTAGAGCTGGATGCCTTCTATTCCCTGCCTATTTATGCGTCTAAATGCTTCTTAAACATTGCTATTGCACCTGCTTCTACCACTTCCCCTGGCAGCATGTTCCAGACATCTACCACCCTCTGTGCGAAAAAAAAACTTGCCTCTCATCTCCTTTAAAATTGCCCCCTCTCACCTTAAACCTATGCCCCTGGTATCTGGCATTTTCACCCTGGGATAATGTTTTAACGAAGATCTGTAGCTCAGGTTGCAGTTGGAGTTGTTGGTTGGTTCTCAGAGCTGACTGGTTTTCGTGCAAACGTTTCGTCTCCATTCTAGGTGACATCGTCAGTGCTGTGTAGCCTCCATTGAAGCGCTGTTGTTCTGCCCCGCTCTGAATTTACACGGTCCAGTTTGTCATAGTGGGCAGTCTTGTTTCCGGTTTTTGTCCGGAGCGGGTCGGAAGGCAAAGCCGGAGTCTGAGTATATAACGGAGTAAACGTACTGGTGCAGAAACACTGCAAAACTAAAAAAAACTAATTAATTTTAAATAATGAACTAAGTAGAGATGGCAGGCCAGGTGATGTGTTGTAGCTGTATGATGTGGGAGCTAGCTGATCCCATTGAGAACGGCAGTGACCACATCTGCAGCAAGTGTTGGCTGCTTGAGGAGCTTCAGCTCAAAATTGATGAGCTGGAATCTGAACTCCAAACACTGCAGCACATCCGGGAGGGGGAGAAATACCTGGATGCTGTGTTCCAGGAGGCAGTCACACCTGGTAGATTAACTAATGTTAATTCGATTGGCGGGTAGGGACAGCAGTGTGTGACTGCGAGTGAGGCAGGTAGAGGGACCCTGCAGACAGGAACACACGAGCCACAGCCCTTGACATTGTCCCACAGGTATGAGGCACTTGCTCCCTGCGTGGATGAGGAACAGGGCTGCAGGAAGGATGAGTCAACTGACCATGGCACCATGGTCCAGGAGGCCATTCAAGAGGGGGGAGCAAAAAGACAGATTGTATTTGTAGGGGATTCCATCATCAAGGGGATAGACAGTATCCTTTGCGAGCAGGATAGAGAATCCCGCATGGTGTGTTGCCTGCCCAGTGCCAGGGTGCAAGACATCTCTGACCGGCTTGAGAGGATACTAGAGAGGGAGGGGGAGGATCCAGTTGTTGTGGTCCACGTAGATACCAACAACATAGGCAGGACTAGGAAAAAAGACCTGTTTCAGGATTATGAAAAGCTAGGAACAAAATTAAAAAACAAGTCTTCAAGGGTCATAATCTCTGGATTGCTGCCCGAGCCACGTGCAAATTGGCATAGGGAGGCGAGGATCAGGGAAGTAAACACGTGCCTAAAAGAGTGGTATGGGAAAGAGGGTTTCCTTTTCATGGGGCACTGGCATCAGTTCTGGGACAGGAGGGATCTATACCGATGGGATGGACTCCACCTGAACAGGGCCGGTTCCAGTGTTCTGGCGAAAGGGGTACATAGGGTGGTTAATAGGACTTTAAACTAGTAAGTAGGGGGGGAGGGAGAAGTGAGCGTAGAGGGAGAATAACAATTAATGTAAGGCAAAGCAGCAGGTTAGCAGGTGAAGCTTCAACTCCATTGAAAATTAGGAAAAAAGTTAAAGGGAAAGAGAACTCAAGAGCTGTTAGTAATGGAGGTAATAGGACCCAAAAAGAAGGTGCAAAAACTGGCATAAGGGCACTTTATCTGAATGCTCGGAGCATTCGAAACAAGGTGGATGAGTTGATAGCGCAATCATGGCAAATGGGTACAATTTAGTGGCCATTACAGAGACATGGTTGCAGGATGGTCATGACTGGGAGTTAAATATCCAGGGGTATCAAACTGTTCGGAAGGACAGACAGGAAGGTAAGGGAGGTGGTGTTGCCCTGATTTTTAAGGATGATATAGGTTCTACTGAACAAAACGTTGAATCCATTTGGGTGGAAATTAGGAATAGCAGGGAGAAGTCACTGATAGGTGTGGTCTATAGGCCACCAAATAATGACATTGTGGTGGGGCAGGCAATAAATGTAGAAATAGCTAATGCATGTAAAAATGGTACAGCAATTATCATGGGGGATTTTAATCTACATATCGATTGGTCAAACCAGGTCGGTCATGGCAGCCTTGAGGAGGGGTTCATAGAATGCATCCGCGATAATTTCCTCGAACAATATTTAATGGAACCTATGAGGGAGCAAGCTATCCTAGATCTAGACTTGTGTAATGAGACAGGAATAATTAATGATCTCACAGTTAGGGATCCTCTCGGAAGGAGCGATCACAGTATGATCGAATTTAAAATACAGATGGAGCGTGAGAAGGTTAAATCCAGAACCAATGTCCTGTGCTTAAACAAAGGAGACTATGATGGGATGAGGGAGGAGTTAGCTAAGGTAGAATGGGAGCAAAAACTTTATGGTGGGTCAATCGAGGAACAGTGGAGGACTTTCAAAACGATTTTTCACAGTGCTCAGCAGAAGTATATTCTACTGATAAGAAAGAACTGTAGGAAAAGAGAGAACCAGCCATGGATGTCTAAGGAAATAAAGAAAAGTATCAGATTGAAGAAAAACACATACAAAAAAGCAAAGAGTGGTGGGAAACTAGTAGACTGGGAAATCTTTCAAGGCTAACAGAAAGCCACAAAAAAAGTTATAAAGAAAAGTAAGACAGATTATGAGAGTAAACTAGCTCAGAATATAAAAACAGGCAGCAAAAGTTTCTATAAATATGTAAATCGTAAAAGAGTGGCGAAGGTAAACATTGGTCCTTTAGAGGATGAGAAGGCCAATTTAATAACTGGGAATGAGGAAATAGCCGAGACATTGACACAAAATAACTGTTTAGTCTTCACAGTAGAAGACGCAAATAACATGCCGAAAACTAATGGCAAGAAGGTTATAGCAGGTGAGGACCTAGAAACTATCATTATCACTAAGGAGGCAGTGCTGGACAAGCTAATGGGGCTAAAGGTAGACAAGTCTCCTGGCCCTGATGAAATGCATCCCAGGGTACTAAAGGAGGTGATGGGGGAAATAGCAAATGGACTAGTAATTATTTACCAAAATTCACTGGACTCTGGGGTGGTTCCCGCAGATTGGAAAACAACCAATGTGAAGCCACTGTTTAAAAAAGGAAGTAGACAAAAAGCAGGTAACTATAGACCAGTTAACTTAACTTCGGTAGTGGGGAAAATGCTTGAATCTATCATTAAGGAAGAAATAGCAAGACATCTGGATATAAATTGTCCCATTGGAAACACCCAGCATGGGTTCATGAAGGGTAGGTCATGTTTAACTAATTTGGTGGAACTCTTTGAGGACATAACTTGCATGTGGACAATGGGGAACCTGTGGATGTGGTGTATCTAGATTTCCAGAAGGCATTTGACAAGGTGCTACACCAAAGGCTGCTACATAAGATAAAGTTCCACGGTATTACAGGTAATGTATTGGCATGGATAGAGGATTGGTTGACCAGTAGAAAGCAAAGAGTAGGGGTAAATGGGTGTTTTTCTGGTTGGCGGTCAGTGGCTAGTGGTGTGCCTCAGGGATCAGTGTTGGGACTGCAATTGTTTACAATTTACATAGATGATTTGGAGTTGGGAACTAAGTGTGGTGTGTCAAAATTTGCATATGACACTAAGGTGAGTGGTAGAGCAAAGTGTGCAGAAGACACAAAGTCTGCAGAGGGATATAGATAGTCTAAGTGAGTGGGCAAAGGTCTGGCAGATGGAGTACAATGTTGATAAGTGTGAGGTCATCCATTTTGGTAGGAATAACAGGAAAATGGACTATATTTTAAATGGTAAAAAATTGCAGCACGCTGCAGTGCAGAGGGACTTGGGTGTCCTTGAGCATGAATCACTAAAAGTAGGATTGCAGGTGCAGCAGGTAATTAAAAAGGCAAATGGAATTTTGTCTGCCATTGCTTGATTGTATGGAGTTTAAAAACAGGGAGGCTATGCTGCAGCTGTATAGAGTCCTGGTGAGGCCACACCTGGAGTACTGTGTGCAGTTTTGGTCTCCTTACTTGAGAAGGGATATACTAGCACTGGAAAGGGTGCAGAGGAGATTCGCTCGGTTGATTCCAGAGTTGAGAGGGTTGGATTATGAGGAGAGACTGAGTAGGCTGGGATTATACTCATTGGAATTCAGAAGAATGAGGGGAGATCTTATAGAAACATATGAGATTATGAAGGGAATAGATAAGGTGGAGGCAGGGAGATTGTTTCCGCAAGCAGGTGAAACTCAGACTGGAGGGCATCGCCTCAAAATAAAGGGAAGCAGATGTAGGACTGAGGTCAGGAGGAACTTCTTCACCCAGAGGGTTGTGAATCTGTGGAATTCCCTGCCCAGTGAAGCGGTTGAAGCTACCTCGCTGAATGTTTTTAAGGCAAGGCTGGATAAATTTTTGAACAGTAAAGGAATTAAGGGTTATGGTGAGTGGGCGGGAAAGTGGAGCTGAGTCTCAGAAGGATCAGCCATGATCTTATTAAATGGCGGGGCAGGTTCGAGAGGCCAGATGGCCTACTCCTGCTCCTAGTTCTTATGTTCTTATGTCCTAGGACAAGTGAGACAAAGACAAGCGCGAGAACTTCTGGAGGCCTGGTCATCAACCACCGATGCAATTAACAAATATGTTGAAATAGACCCCATCTACATACCACTACCACACAAAACCAGAAACAAGACTGCCCACTATGACAGACCTGACCATACGAATTCAGAGCAGGACAGAACAACAGCGCTTCAATGGAGACTACACAGCACAGACGATGTAATCTAGAAGGAAGATTACTTCACATTTTTCTAAACCTATATTTGCAGTTTCTGTCACTATTTTCAATAGATCTGCAGCCCACTTCTTCCCTGTCCTGCACATGTTAATGTTGAGATGCAGGAAAACATTTTCACCTTCGTCTCTTTTCGTTCATCTGCTGTTAATATTCACAATCATGCTTGATACTCCCGTCCCACCCACAACAGGAAAAATATGGCCTTTGAACATTACTTAAAACAGTGCTCAAAAAGAAGTTTCCTGAAGAAACTAAACTGCACCACACGAATGATTTGCAATATTCATAGATAACACAGTGTAGAGCTAGATGAACACAGCAGGCCAAGCAGCATCAGAGGAGCAGGAAGGCTGACGTTTCGGGCCTAGACCCTTCCAGTTCTTTTCCCTGTAAATTACGTAAGTCCCAATCCATAAAGAACAGTAAAACAGCTGCATTTAATCAGGTTTCAACCACATTAGCATCAAATTCAGACTTTGTTTTACAAAACACAGTACTATATATCTACTTGCTAACCTTACTGACACCTGCAGTCCTGTTTCACATGGGAAAGAAAAATCACAAATTACTGTTAATCTTAGACTTTTTAAAACCAAGTCAATTGTATTATTAAAAAATTGGCATGGTCATTTAGCACTTAACTCAAACACTCATTAAAGATAGGTAAACTTTATTACTCTATAAATTCATTCAGTTTTTACTCTATAAATTAGATTTCTTTAATTGGAAGCAAATATTGCATATATCCATATCAACTGATTGGGTAATACTGTTAAATTACATGCTTTAGTAACTTGATTGGTCAGAATGCTTTTACTTGCATTCTGGTCCAGTAAAGTGACAAATACCACAGAGTCTATTATGTGGTCACTGCCTGGTGTAGTGGGAAATTGTCCAATTTAGAATATTTAGTGGTTGCAGTTGAAAATTAAGTGTTTTTCTAACCTCTATCAAATTTCTTAAGAGAAAATTCCCAAATTCTTCAATCTATTGTCATAGGCAAAGTTCTCATCCTGAAACCTGTCTTCACAGAATCCCTACAGTGTGTAAACAGGCCATTCAGCCCAAGTCCTTACTGACCTTCTGAAGAGCATCCAACCCAGACCCATCTCCCAACCCTTTCCCGTAACCCTACATTTTCCGTGGCTAATGCACCTAACCTATAAATCCCTGAATGGTATGGGCAATTTAGCAAGGCTAATCCATTTAACCTGCAGAACTTTGGACTGTGGGAGGAAACGGGAATACCTGGCAGAAACCCACGCAGACACAGGGAGAACATGCAAACTCTACACACAGTTGGCCCAGGGGTGGAATTGAATCCAGGTCCATGGGGCTGTGAGGCAGCAGTGCTAACCACTGATCCACCATGCCACCCCTTGCAAATATCTTTTGCGCTCTCTTCAATGAGCTCACATCCTTCCTAAAGTGTGATGCCCAGAATTGTACACAATGTTGCATAACAGAAAATACTCAGTGTCCTGTAAATAGTTATCTATGGCAGTTATATTTATTTTTGTATAATGCTACACAATTTCTTGGTTCTGTCACAGAACAGACATGGTACAGATACAAGAACTCTAAAATAAGTCATTTATTCAAAGTATACAAGGCAGAACAAGGTAATGTTTCAATGTATCAAAACATGAAAGGGAGATTCCATGCAAACAGATCTATATGTAACTACAGCATTAGATTAAGCATAAAAATCAGGAAGGCATCAAGTTCAAACAACATATTGATCTCAGCATAGCTAATAATGTTTTCTTAGATTAGGGCAAAAAAGCCCCCTAATTCTGATAAATGTATTGCTGCAGGAAGATGCGAGAGAAGACAAGACAAGCTCAACCAGGGAGACCTCTCTCTCTCTCCAGCACTAAACAACTTGCCAGCAATCATGCAAAAGATACATTGAAACTACAGTCAATCTTTCAGACTAGGTAGAAAAGAAGGATAAATTTAGGAAATAAAGAATGATGAGAAAAAGAAGTGTACACCAATCAGAAATATCAAGCGCTGGCACTTCCAAAATTTTAAATCTAGGACCGCATGATCACTACCTGCAACCTTAGTTCACCAACCATTGTAATATAAAAGGAGAACCAATGAGATGTCAGTAAATAATCAGTTATGGAAGTCCCTTGACACCACAGAGGTTTCACCATATGCTGGAACAACACTAGCTGCAAGCAATGTGACGTTTTCTCCCAACAGCATCAACATGGAACTATTTAAAAAGCGTCATTACACTTAAATGACAAGCATAAAAGGTATATTCTAGGTGTATTTCATATGAACTTCACTGATCCAAAGTAATGAGCCTGCTATAACCTTTAATTATTATTGCAAACCTGAAAATATATAGACTCCATTGAATTAGACTACTGGTCAAAAGTTTCAGACACACAAACAGTCTTAGATGCTTCACATTAGGAAAGAGAAATTTGATCCAAAGTCAGTTTGTTGCTCATTTAAGAGGATTCACTTCAGGTGACACACAGCTCAGAGCATCCATCTTCTCAGAAAGTAGACGATCAACCTTGCTCTGGAAGAGAAATCAATTTATTTTTCAAAATATATAAATGTTCATTTTTCTTTTAAAAAAGAGACCCATGCAGTTTATTTGTTGTTATTTTATGACGAAATAAAACAAAACTTATCCAGAACGGCTAAATTAAACAAACAACAGACAAGTCATTCCTGAACCAAACTTATACAGCTCTGTGACTAAATAATAGGATCTCTCTCAAATAAAAACTTAATGTGGAGAGAAAAGGTGTGTCAGTGGTGCCAGTTACTGAGCAGCTTTCTTGGCAGTTGCCAATGGTGCTGCCACAGGGTTCCGATAGTACCAACAAATTACTTGCTATTTAATTCTTTCACAGGACGTGGGAATTGCTGGGTAAGCCGACATTTTTGACTCATCACTATCGATGAGAAGGTGCCAACACTACATGTGTTTAGGTACAGCCACAGTGCCAATAGAGTTCCAAGATTCTGACAGTGGCAGTGTTAACTTTGCTTAACAAAAAATTATCCAACTCAGATTTAAAATTAACTTATCTAGCATCAACTGCCATTTGTAGTAAAGAGTTCCAAACCCCTACCATCCTGTATGTGTAGAAGTGCTTCCTAAAATCTCTCCTGACAGTCTGGACCTAATTTTTATGCCCTTAATTCTAGAAGCCCTAACCAATGGAAATAGTTTATCTTCATACACCCTGTCTTTTCCTGTTAATATCTGGAAGACAGATCAGATCCACTGGAACTCGCAGGTGGTGGTGTTCCCTTGCATCTGTTGTCCTCGTCCTCCTAGATGACAGAAGCCCTGATTTGGAAGGTGCTGTTCAAAAAGCTTCAATGAGTTGGCACAACACATCTTGTTGACGAGACACAATGCCCCCATGGGGTGTTGGTGGTGGAGGGAGCAACTGTTGAGGGTGGTGGATTTGGTGCCAGTCATGTGGGGTGCTTTGTCCTGGATATTTTCTAAATCAACATTTTCAGAGATCCTGTGACATCGATGGAGCAGATATTACTAGACCCCAGGCCTTCTGACTCAGAGGTAGGGACACAACCACTGCGCAAGAACGCTTATGGTGTCAAGTTTCTTGCATGCTAACTCATCCAGACAAAACGAAAAATATTCCATCACACTCCAAACTTTTGCCTCATGAATGGTAGATAGGATTTGGGGAACCTGAAGGTGTGTCACTCAATGCAGAGGTCAGAGCCTCCAACCTGCATTTGTAGCTACGTACTTTTACGTACTACGTTCATTTTCTGGTTAACGGTAACTCTCGGGATTTGAAAGCAGGAGATTCAGCAATGGTAAAGTCAAAAGGAAGTTACATTCATTGCAGATTATATTGCAGATAGTCAGTACGTGGCACTCGTAGGAAGCAAATATCACTAGCCACTTATCAGCCAATGTCCAGATCCTGCTGCATACACAGACTGCTTCGGTATCTGAAGACTCACAAACGATGCTCAGCAAGTATCCCCCACTCTTGACCATATAACGAACAGAAGATGATTAAAGTAGCTGAAGATCGTTGGATACCTTGAGGAACTCCTGTAGCAATATCATGGGACTAAAATGGTTGACCTCCAACAACTACAACTTGTGCAGGGTATGACTCCACCAGTGGAGAGCTTTCCCTCCACTTCCATTGACTTCAGTTTGGATCAGATTCCTTAATGCAATTCTCTGTCAAATGCAGTCACTCTCACCTCAAGTTCAGCATTTTTTGTCCATGTTTGAACTAAGGTTGTAATACACAGTCAGCAGCTGAGCAGTCCTGACAAAATAAAAACTGAGCATGGGTCAGCAGGTTAATGCTGTGCAAATGCTGCTTGATAGCCTTGTTGATGGCACCTTCCATTACTTCACTGATGACTGACTGTGGACAAATGGGGTGGGAATTAGCTAGGTTGGATTTGTTTTGCTTTTTGTGGACCAGGCATACCTGAGCAACTTTGCACTCTGACATTTCAACAACAATGGAACTAGATTGTACTCCTTGAGCAGTCTTTCCTCACTAACACTGTATCCAGAACAAGCTCCAACTTAAAAGACTTACACTTTTCTAACTTTATTGCTCTTTCTACAATCTCTCAAGGATAGAAGACTACGGAACCAAGAAGTTGTAGCAATCAAAAATGATTACACATTAGAAAAGGGAAAACTAATAGATGAGCTAATTGTGGTCTTTTAAAATTATTGAATACATTTGACAACGTAGTTGTCAAAAAAATTGCTTCTAATTATAGGAGTGTTCCAATTTTAAATATTGGAGTCTTTAGTAATTCCAATAAGGGATTCAGGAGAAACTTCTTTACCCAGAAGATGGTTAGAATGTACAACTTCAGGCTGTTGAGGTAAATAGCAGATGATTTAAGGGGAAGTTAGTTATGTACATCAGGGTGAAAGGAATAGAGAGACACGTTGTTAGGTTTAGGAAAAAAACAGGGTGGGAGGAATTCTTGTAGTCCACAACCATTGACACATTGACTAGTTGGGTTGAATGGCCTGTTTCGGTGCTACAATTTCCATGTTAATCTAATATGATTAATTCTATTGATCATAGAATCCCTACAGCGTGGAAACAGGCCATTCGGCTCATCAAATCCACACCAACCCTCCAAAGAGCAACCCACTGCCCTACAGAACTCATCTCTTCCTAATTTGACTCAGTCTTCTCCCCCCGGTCGAATCCCTACACACATACATCCAAGATTCCTCTGACGCCTTAGGCCAGTTTCAAAACTTCCCGTTTACCAGTTCCAGTCACCTCGTTTTTACCATGGATGTACAATCCCTTTACATGTCCATTCCCCACCAGGAGGGTCTTAGGGCTCTCCGGTTCTTCCTGGAGCAAAGACCTGAACCATCCCCACCCCCACCACCACCCTCCTCCACTTGGTTGAGCTTGTCCTCACCCTCAACAACTTCTCTTTCAACTCCTCTCATTTTCTTCAGGTAAGAGGAGTTGCCATGGGTACCCACATGGGCCCTAGTTATGCCTGTCTCTTCGTGGGGTACGTGGAACATTCCTTGTTCCAGTCCTATTCCGGCCCCCACCCACAACTCTTTCTCCGATACATCGATGATATCATCGGTGCTGCTTCCCTCTCTCGTCTGGAATTGGAAAACTTCATCAATTTCGCCTCCAATTTCCACCCTGCCCTCACTGTCACCTGGTCTATCTCTGAGTCCTCCCTTCCCTTCCTTGACATTTCTGTTTCCATTTCTGGGGATAGACTGGCCACTAACATCCACTACAAACGCACTGACTCCCACAGCTACCTGGACTATACATCCTCACACCCCACTTCCTGTAAAGACTCCATCCCATTCTCTCAGTTCCTCAGTCTCCGTTGCATATGTTCAGATGAGGCCAACTTTGACAAGGGGGCCTCCAAGATGTTCACCTTCTTCCTCAACCGAGGATTCCCAGCTCCGCTTTCGACAGGGCCCTCAACCAGGTCCGACCCATCAGCCGCACTTGCGCTCTCACCACTTCTCTTCCCTCCCGCAACAGCAATAGGATTCCCCTTATCCTCACCTACCATCTCACCAGCATCCAAATCCAGAAGATCATCAGACGCCATTTCCGCCATCTCCAGCGAGATGCCACCACCAGACACATATTCCCCTCCCATCCCTTGTCCGCCTTCCGCTGGGACCGTTCCCTCCAGGACATCCTGGTCCACACTTCCTTCACCCCCAACACCACCCCACAGCCCCACGGCACCTTCCCCTGTAACCGGCGAAGGTGCAACACCTGCCCATTTACCTCCTCCCTCCACAGTATCCAAGGGCCCAAACATACCTTCCAGGTGACGCAACACTTCAACTGAACTTCCCAGAATCTCGTCTACTGCATTCACTGCTCACAATGTGGTCTCCTCTACATTGGGGAAACGAAGTGTAGACTTGGCGACCGCTTCGCAGAACATTCTGCTTTCTAAGTTCTGCTTGCAAAAAAGATCCTGAACTAACTGTTGCCTGCCACTTTACTGCACCACTCTGCTCCCTGGCCAACATCTCTGTCTTTGGCTTGCTGCAGTGTTCCAGTGAAGCCCAAAGCAAGCTGGAGGAACAACTCCTCATTTTCCACTTGGGGACCCTACAGCCCTCCAGACTCAATACTGAGTTCAATAATTTTAGGGCCTAAACTCTCTTATGTGCTAAACCCCTACCCCACACATCAGGCCTTGTTACCACATAGCCTGCCATTACACACCCCCTGTTGTTAGTCACTAACAGTCCCCATTAATAACTATTAACCCTCCCAGCCTGATCGTTAGCAACTCCTTTGTCTGTCCAACTGTCCTTCTCTCTCTGGGCTCTATCCTATCGTTTACTTCCTACCCCACCCACCTCCCTATTTTCTGCATTTAAACTGACGTTTTCCCAGCCACCATCAGTTCTGAGGAAGGGTCACTGGATCCAAAATGTTAACTCTGTTTTTTCCTTCACAGATGCTGCCAGACCTGCTGAGCTTTTCCAGCAATTTTGTTTTTGTTCCTGATTTACAGCATCTGCAGTTCTTTCAGTTTTTATTTAGTACTAACCAAGAGGCCTATTGGCCCACATGATTCCAGTGGAATCAAATAAGACAATCCTCTAAGTGAAATAGACTTACGGTGTGCATCATGAATACCAACTAGAAGAAAGAATATTCAAAAATAAGGAACAGTGTAAAGCACAGGGTATGTCTACAACACTAGAGATTATCAGACATCAGAAACTGGTTTATGACTATATTCTCCTGCATGCTGAGTTTAAAGGATGCGAGAAGGCCAAAGCACAAAAGAATATCCAGAGGGGAGGATGATCATTCTCGAATAATGAGAGATTTATGCAATGGTAAATTTTATAAAGCATACTAGTTTTCTAAATTTAAGCTTATTTTGGGTAATGTTCTTTTTAAGGAAAACTAGAAAAAGAAATTAGGCAGCATGATAGAATAACACCCAGCATTAAGATTATTTTGCATTTGCAGTCTGGATTCTACTTTCATGTATTGACATGGCAGTCTTGAAATTGAAATGATAAGCAAAAATATAACACTTACCAACTCCAATTTTGTTTCTTCAATTTTTACTTTGGCACTGTAGAAATTCTGCAAAATACAAGTTCAATACCCCAAACTAAACTATTGGTCTCACAAAGAAACAAAAATTGAGAAGTTTATATTAATTAGTAGTGAAGAAACTGCACCAGAGATCATTTGGGGTAGAATTTCAACTCTTTATTCTATGTAATTCCTAACCTCGCCTGTCAAACAGATATATGGCACTTACGGGTGTCAAGTCATGATAGGATTTCAGCTTTGCATTCAAAGATTCTACTTCCTTCTTCACATTTTCCAACCTCTAGAACACAAACACACAGAACAATTAAGTTCAATGATTTGCATTTACCCCATCATTTGATAGAAATTTCTTTTGCTTCGTCACCATGACCCACTCTCGGATCAGCAGTTAGAAGGCTAGGTGATCCGCTGTTAGTGAAATGCAGGCTGATAACACTCCGTTGATATTCTGCACAGTCACTGCTCCAAACTGGCCACAAAACATCTTGCTGCAAGAAAATGTGTTTCAGGTCTAAGAGGCAAACTCAAGATGAATAATTGGTCTGATTTATTGTTGAATTCAGACATTACCAGCCCTTTGCCATCTAAACAAATTTAGAGAATGAAAATAACATATTTCTGAGAGTACAATTCAGACAGACAATCAAACGTATAAACACACTGGACAACACCAATCCACTGAAGGGTTCAATGGGCATTTGCCCCAATGCCAATTTTGTTTTCATATACAATACATATTAACAAAACAATCCTTTCACTTACATACCTACCTCAGAAAGTTCTACAAGCGATTGATGATCTAGACATGCATCGAATCCAACTTGCTTCAGGTCACTCTTTTAAAAGAAAAATGGATAGTTAAAGATTAAACTTAAATGAAACATTTCAAAATTTCATAATTAAGACAGCTATACAAAAAGAACGCAAGTTGTGGGGAAGGGGGATGTAGGGAAAGAGTGAGAGAGAGAGAGAGAGAAAGAGAGAAAGAGAGAAAGAGAGAGAGAAAGAGAGAAAAGTAGGGGCAGGCAGCAACAAAAAAAAAGATAAAAGTCCTGGGCTACAAAAAGTACATTTAATTGGAAATTTCAAACTTGCAAACTCATTCAGAACTTTTTTTTAAAAAAAACATACCCCATTACCTCTCCTACCCGGCTGTTAATCTATTGCATAATTTTATCAGCTGATTTAAAGTATCATCTACATTTTCTATTTTCTTTAAAAGCAACGTAATATTTTGCATCAGAGATAGTAGGAACTGCAGATGCTGGAGAATCCGAGACAACAAGGTGCAGGGCTGGATGAACACAGCAGGCCAAGCAGCATCATAGGAGCAGAGAGGCTGACGTTTCGGGCCTAGACCCTTCATCAGAAAAGAGGGAGGGGAAGGGGGTTTTGAAATAAATAGGGAGAGAGTGGGAGGCGGATAGAAGAGGGATAGAGGAGAGGATAGGTGGAGAGGAAACAAACAGGTCGAAGAGGCGGGGATGGAGCCAGTAAAGGTGAGTGTAGGTAGGGAGTTAGGAAGGGGATAGGTCAGTCCAGGGAGGACGGACAGGTCAAGGGGGCGGGATGAGGTTGGTCGGTAGGCCTTCACTTTTGACCTGTGGCCTTCCTATCTAGTATCTAGAATTAGTATCCAACATCATTGAACCAACCACTTCTTCTGCAAGTGCAGTGTAAACTGACTGCTGGCTACAAATATAGCTGGGCCAAAACAGTCTCCTGTGCAAAACTACTCTCCGATTTCATGACAGCAGGCTACCAAATTCATATGGCTGGGGACTGACGATGTTTAATCAAAATCCTGAGCCAATGTCCAAATAGTTACTAAGGGCAAGAAAGCAATGGATGGAGGTCAGGATATCCTATTCTGATGTATTGCTTGTGTTTCTAACCTCAGCCATTCCATGCTAAAGAAATGTCAAAGATTTCTCTCTTAGGAAGAAGAAAAAATAAGAAAGCTCAATCAGGCCTCCAGCACCCACAGTGGCTGTTTACAGAGCAACACAGAGATGCTTGAAAATGGCAGGAACCTCTCCCATGTGGTTATTTAATTTTTACATTAACCAAGACAGTTACAACCAGTTGGCCATTTGACCACAGAAGGCCACTGTATCACAGGAGAGGCTTGAGAGTCAATTTAATCTTGACCTGAACTAAGATCCATCATACACATCTACATGATTTCATTGGATAGCCCCGCCAATTTCTACCTTCTGCAACCAAAATTATGTCTTCCACTTGGAATACTCCCTTAAAAGGCCTTTTTGCCCCTTATCAACCACTAAATGCAAAATAAAAATGCTAATATTTTCTCAGGATTAACTATTTCATCCAAAAATTAATAAAACCCATCCTACAGATGGCTGCTGGCTGGAGTGTTAGGCAACCAGACTTAAAAATCATAGCTTCAACACTGACCTCTAAACTTTGGCTCAGTTGGCTCCATTCTTTCATTTTTTTTCTGAAGAATTCTGCATTCTGCTTTTTACACTCTGCTTTTGCCTTGGCTTCAATGAGACAGGCATCTGTCTGCAGTAAATCCCTTAAAATAAGACAAAGTATTATAATTACTGAAATTTCACTCCTCTTGGGCCAAGTGAGTCAGTTCTTGTGAATGGTATATTTTGGTGCTACGTTTAAGAATCATCTGGATGAGCACTTAAAATACGAGAGCATAGTAAACAATAGACCAAGTGCAGGTAAATAGGATTAATGTGGCTTGGTGTTTGTTAGTCAGCTTAGACATGGTGAGCCAAAGGTCCTGCTTCTATGCTGTATGTCTCCATGACTATTTTGCATTAGGGTCAACATGAAGCCTTGGAGATCAGATGTAAGCGAAACTTCAATCCAAAAAAATGAGCCTTAATTCCAAACTGTTGTGAAGCTCATACAGACTATTGACTTTTTAAAAGGAAACTGAATTCCCAGTGACTGATTCAAAGAATCATATGACAAAATTTCACATTTTCAGACCTTTACTGTGGAAGTATCTAAAACATTAAGTGAATATGAATACAAAAGCAAAATACCGTAGATGCTGGAAATTTGGAATATAATATGGATGCCAGAAATACTCAGAAACAAAATCAGAAATTGCTGGAAAAACTCAGCAGGTTTGGCAGCATCTATGCAGAGAAAGCAGAGTTAATGTTTTGGGTTCAGCGACCCTTCTTCAGAACTGATGTAACCTGCTGAATTTTTCCGGCAATTTCTGATTTTTTTTCCCCCCGATTTGCAGCATCTGCAGTTCTTTGTTTTTTTTGCTGGGAATACTCAGCAGGTCGCAGCATCTGTGGAGAGAAACAAAGTCAGCACTTCAGGTCGATGCTCTTATTGGAACTCATCCTCACATGAACACTTCCATAGAACATAGAACATAGAACATAGAACATAGAACATTACAGCGCAGTACAGGCCCTTCGGCCCTCGATGTTGCGCCGACCTGTGAAAACCAATCTGAAGCCCATCTAACCTAAACTATTCCATTATCATCCATATGTTTATCCAATGACCATTTAAATGCCCTTAAAGTGGGCGAGTCTACTATTTTTGCAGGCAGGGCATTCCACGCCCTTACTACTCTCTGAGTAAAGAACCTACCTCTGACATCTGTCCTATATCTATCACCCCTCAATTTAAAGCTATGTCCCCTCGTGCTAGCCATCACCATCCGAGGAAAAAGGCTCCCACTGTCCACCCTATCTAATCCTCTGATCATCTTGTATGTCTCTATCAAGTCACCTCTTAACCTTCTTCTCGCTAGTCATAGAGTTGTGCAGCATGGAAACAGACCCTTCAGGCCAACTCGTCTATGCCAGACAGATATCCTAAATTTATCTAGTCCAATTTGCCAGCATTGGGCCCATAACCCTCTAAATGCTTCCTATTCATGTGCCCATCCAGATACCTTTTAAATGTTGTTATTGTACCAGCGTCCACCACTTCCTCTGGCAGCTCATTCCATACACACACCACCCTTACATGTAAGAGTTTCCCCTTTTATATCTTTCCCCTCTCACCTTAAACCTATGCCCTCTAGTTGTGGACTCCCCTAACCTGGGGGAAAAAAAAACCTTGGCTATTAACCCTAACCATGACCCTCATGATTTTATAAACCTCCACAAAAGGTCACCCCTCAACCTCCGACACTCCAGGGATAACAGCCCCAGCTATTCAGCCTTTCCCTATAGCTCAAACCCTCCAACCCCAGCAACATCCTTGTAAATCTTTTCAGCATATTTTCACGTTTATCAATATCTTTTCTATAACAGGGAGACCAGAATTGAATGCAATATTCCAAAGGTGGCCTAACTAATGTTCCGTACAGCCACAACAAGACATCCCAACTCATACTCAATGCACTAACCAACAAAGGCAAGTGTACCAAACACCTCCTTCACTACCTGTGACTCCACCTTCAAGTAACTATGAACCTGCACTCCAAGGTCTCTGTCCAACAACACTCCCCAGGACCCTATCATTAGTTGTATAAGTCCTGCCCTGATTTGCCTTCCAAAATATAACACCTCATATTTATCTAAATTAAACTCCATCTGCCACTCCTCGGCCCAGTGACTTTTGGTAATCCTCTTCACTGTCCACTACACCAATTTTGGTGTCATCTGCAATCTTATTAACTATTATTCACATCCAAATCATTTACATAAATGACAAAAAGCGCACGACATAGCACAGTACAGGCCCTTCGCCCCACGATGTTGTGCCGAACTTTTACCCTAATCCTAAAGTCTATCTAACCTCCAACCCTACCTTATACTGTCATCCATATGCCTGTCTAGTAGCTGCTTAAATGCCCCGAATGAGGCCGACTCCAGCAATGCATTCCACGCCCCTACCACTCTCTGAATAAAGAATCCACCTCTGACGTCTCCCCTATATCTACCTCCACTCACTTTAAAACTATGCCCCCTTGTAATAGCTACCTCCACCCTAGGAAAAAGTCTCTGGCTGTCTATCTATACCTCTGATCATTTTGTACACCTCTATCAAGTCATCTCTCATCCTTCGTCATTCTAAAAAACCCCAGCTCTCTCAACCTTTCCTTGTAAGACCTTCCCTCCACTCCAGGCAAATCTCCTGGTGAATCTCCTCTGCACCTTTTCCAACACTTCCACATCTTTCCTGTAATGAGGCGACCAGAACTGGACACAATACTCCAGATGTGGCCGAACCAGGCTTTTGTATAGCTGGAGCATAACTTCACGGCTCTTGAACTCAATCCCTCTCTTAATGAAAGCTAACACACCATATGCCTTCTTAATAACTCTATCCACCTGGGTGGCAGCTTTCAGGGAACTATGGACGTGAACCCCAAGATCCCTCTGCTCCTCCACACTGCCAAGAATCTTTCCATTAACCCTGTATTCTGCCTTCAAATTTGTCCTTCCAAAATGAGTCACCTCACACTTTTCAGGGTTAAACTCCATCTGCCACTTCTCAGCCCAGCTCTGCATCCTATCAATGTCCCTTTGTAACCTAGAACAGCCCTCCGCACTATCCACAATTCGACCCACCTTCGTATTGTCTGCAAACTTTCTAATCCACCCTTCCACTCCTTCATCCAAATCATTTACATAAATCACAAATAGAACAGGACCCAGAGCAGATCCTTGTGGTACACCACTTGTAACTGAGCACCATGGTGAATATTTTCCGTCCACTACCACCCTTTGTCTTCTAAGGGTCAGCCAATTCTAAATCCAATCTGCCACATTTCCCCCTGTCCCATGCCTCCTTACTTGCTGCATGCGCCTACCATGGGAAACCTTATCAAACGCCTTACTTAAATCCATGTATACCACATCCACTGCTCTACCTTCATCCACGTGCTTGGTCGCCTCTTCAAAGAATTCAATAAGGTTTGTGAGGCATGATCTACCCCTCACAAATCCATGTTGACTATCACAAATCAAACTGTGCCTATCCAAGTGATCATAAACCCTGTTCCTCAGAGCCCTTTCCAATAATTTGCCCACCACTAACTGGCCTATAATTTCCAGGGTTATCCCTATTCCCTTTTTTGAACAAGGGAATGACATTTGCCTCTCTCCAATCTTCCGGCACTATACCCGTGGACAGTGAGGACAAAAAGATCATCGCCAAAGGCCCTGTGATCTCTTCCCTCGCTTCCCATAGAATCCTTGGATAAATCCCATCAGGCCCGGGGGACATATCTATCTTCAACTTCCTCAAAATTCCTAGTACATTTTCCTTACTAACATCCACCTCCTCTAGCCGACCAGCCTGTTTCACACGGTCCTCCTTGACAACTAGGTCCCTCTCAGTTATGAATACCATAGAAAAGTATTCATTAAGGACCTCTCCTATCTCTTTAGGCTCCATGCACAAATTCCCTTTACAATCCTTGATCAGCCCTATCCTTTCTCTGGTCATTTTCTTATTCCTCACATACGTGTAAAAAGCCTTGGAGTTTTCCTTGATCTTATCTGCCAAGGTTTTCTCATTTCCCCTTATACCTCTCCTAAGCCCTTTCTTCAGCTCCTTCCTGGCTAACTAGTATCCCTCTAGATCCTTTTCCGTTCCTTGTTTCCTAAACCTTATATAAGCATCCTTCTTCCTCTTAACCAATCGTTCGACCTCTCTTGAGAACCAAGGCTCCCTCATTCAACCGCATCTTCCTTGCCTGCTAGGGACAAACATATTCAGCACACGCAGTAGGCATTCCTTAAACAATCTCCACATTTCAATAGAGCTCTTCTCTGACAGCATGTTACCAGTTTGTTACCCAGTTCTTGCCTAACAGAATTGTAAACACCCTTCCCCCAATTATAAACCTTACCCTGCTGTATGTACCTATCCTTTTCCATGACTATTGTAAAAGTAACAGAGTTATGATCGTTACCGCCAAAATGCTCTCCTACCAACAGGTCTAATACTTGGCCCGGTTCATTGCCAAGCACCAAATCCAAAATGGCCTGTCCTCATGTTGGTCTATCTACGTACTGTGTCAGGAATCCTTCCTGAATGCACTGGACAAAATCCGCTCCATCTAAACTATTACAACTAAAAAGTTTCCAATCAATATTTGAAAGTTGAAGTCACCCATGACTACAACATGGTGCCTTCTGCATCTTTCCAGTATCTGCCTCCCAATCCGCTCCTCCACTTCTCTGCAACTATTAGGGGGGGTCTGTAAAAAAATCCTCAAATTAACTGCTCCTTTCTTGTTCCTGGCCTCAACCCAAACTGACTCTGTAGACATATCATTCTCGAATTGCCTTTCAGTAGCTGTTATACTAGCCCTGACTAGCAATGCCACTCCCCTGCCTCTTATCACCCTCCCTGTTTCTTTTAAAGCATCTAAATACCAGAACTTCCAACAACCATTCCTGTCCCCGAGTTACCCAAGTTTTTGTAATGGCCATAACATCGTAGTTCCGCAATCCTTGCAGCACACCACTGATCACAGACCTCAAGTGCAAAAAACAACCATCCTTTGTCTCCTAACTGCAAGCCAATTTTGCATCCAAATGGCTAGCTCTCTCTGGATTCCATGTGTTC